GTTGTTTAAATAGTAAAAGTGGTTGCTTTAATAGTAGTTATTCAATAGTAGTATTAAAATTTGGACCCCTTTGCACAGAGGAGCTGACAGTAATATTAAAAACAACAAAGACCAATTTATTAAAGAATGCAGTGAAAAATTTGGGATTAAAATTGAAATAAGTAACATGACCCCAAGGGACGGCGGACATAAGCCAAACTTATGTTAAATAATCTGTGTTTAATTTACTGTATTTAAGTTTAGGAACATTTTATTTTGGAGAACGATTTTCACTACGCAATTTTGGTCTTTCTCAATACTTTCACTTTACTTCCATTCGGAAAAGCAATTTTATAGCTCTTTAAGGTTGCTCTTTTTATTCCACTTCTTATTTGAGCTTTTGCTCAAAATAATTGAATATAATAGTAAATAATTTCAGTTTTTGAATAAACTAGAGGATCTGAAATGCGAAGTGGTGGAAGAAAAGTGGTTTGGTTATGGATAAATCTAAATAATAAATTATATGCCTATTTAAATAAAATTTTAGAAAATAATTTAACATAATAATGAAAGAAGAGCTATTTAGAATGCGAACAAATAAAATTATTTGATAATTTTTTTCATAAATTTTGATAAAAATAATTGAATATAATAGTAAATAATTTCAGTTTTTGAACAAACTAGAGGATCTGAAATGCGAAGTGGTGGAAGAAAAGTGATTTGGTTATGGATAAATCTAAATAATAAATTATATGCCTATTTAAATAAAATTTTAGAAAATAATTTACTATAATTATGAAAAAGAGCTATTTAGTATGAACAATCGAGTTTTCCTTACTTGGATCCGAACCAAACCCTATATTAATAGAAATATAGACTAGAACCAACAACTAAACCACTCAACCACACGTCTCTTTGAAAATATAAAAAGAATTTTGTTATTACATTCATTTTTCCTTCAAAAATAATAAGTCCAAAGTAAATTGGGAGGGAATTTTCTAAATTTTTCTCTTTAAATTCCTCTAATAAACGGAATTTTATAGGGCAATAAACGGAATTATATAAATGTAAAGTTAAGCGATAGAAGATATAATTCATGTTAAGTTAAGCGTTAGAAGATACAGTTGATATAAAGTTAAGAGAAATATTACATATTTTGGGGTAAAAACATACAAAAATTTTGGTAACACGTGATATTAACCATTGTGCGTTTTTTTTTTTTGCTAATGCATATGAACCATGATTTTGCTGCAATTTCTGTAACGGGAAAACTACCCAGGTCTGATGTTTGTTTTAAAAACCTCTAGGATTCAAAAGGTATAAAAAGGAATTATATCCGAAAAACCTCAAAATTTGGACAATTACAATTTTGTACATTTGGACAATTTTTTCTTTTGAAAAATCAGAATTAAATACCACCGAGTATCGAACCCGGCCCGTCCAATTCCGACGAATTAAAAAATATTTTGTATTAAATTTGTAACGAGAATGATTCGCTAAATTTAAATAAAAAATAATTTTTTCTGGCCTTAAATTTTTATTTGCTTTATTTTTTACTTAATTTTAGCATTTTTTTAAAAAATCAGAATATATAAATAAAACTAAAATTTTTGACTAAAATTTATGATTTATAATAAAAATTATAAAAATATTTTTTTAATTGGTAAATAAGTTCCGAAAAAACAAATAAGAGGGGAAATATTACAGAAAAACAAAACAAATTTTGAAAAAATATTGTCGAAGTTTCCTGTAATTTTGGTTTAAAAAATTAAAGTATTTTTCTCTCCTGGAATTCAACAATTAAGGGTCTTTTTAAAAATATTTTCGAATCCCCCTTCCCTCGGGCTGGGTGCAAGCTTATATTTATTTTTTAGTTTCAACAAAACAACAAGAAAGCGGCCCCCAGTGTCCCTTTAAGTAGGCGTACTCTCGGGGGGTCTGCTTATATTCTGGGGTTGCTTGTGTTTCTGTTTGTGTGTTTATTCAGTAGTCTGCTGCTGGTGGGGAAGCAACCATGTCCTTATAATTGGAGATTGCCTCTCCTGACATTCTTTTAGGGAAAATTGATGAGACAATAAAAGAGACAATTTACAGAGGGAGGTCCACACAATAAGCGTATCACGAACAGCAATTCCAATGGCTTCTGATTATAAATTTATGCCCGGTGTGCCAATACAAGTACAATACTCAACTATGCGGGCAATGTTATACCTAGAAAGATTTTGTGAAAGTAGAGGGATTCAAATGATGCCGGACAATAAAACGAAATTTGTTTTGATTTTTTGCATGTTTGATATATTGTTTTTAAATTAAACCATGAAGGGTTAACCCTACATTAACCCTACTCAGCTCAAATCTCTCATTCTTATTGTTAGATAAGCCGGATACCTATTTAACTATCACGTAAAGTTAAACATGAGGAAAGAAACCCTTCATGGTTTAATTTAAAAACAATATATCAAACATGCAAAAAATCAAAACAAATTTCGTTTTATTGTCCGGCATCATTTGAATCCCTCTACTTTCACAAAATCTTTCTAGGTATAACATTGCCCGCATAGTTGAGTATTGTACTTGTATTGGCACACCGGGCATAAATTTATAATCAGAAGCCATTGGAATTGCTGTTCGTGATACGCTTATTGTGTGGACCTCCCTCTGTAAATTGTCTCATCAATTTTCCCTAAAAGAATGTCAGGAGAGGCAATCTCCAATTATAAGGACATGGTTGCTTCCCCACCAGCAGCAGACTACTGAATAAACACACAAACAGAAACACAAGCAACCCCAAAATATAAGCAGACCCCCCGAGAGTACGCCTACTTAAAGGGACACTGGGGGCCGCTTTCTTGTTGTTTTGTTGAAACTAAAAAATAAATATAAGCTTGCACCCAGCCCGAGGGAAGGGGGATTCGAAAATATTTTTAAAAAGACCCTTAATTGTTGAATTCCAGGAAAGAAAAAAAAAACAATTCTTTTTTTAAACTAAAATTAGAGGGAAATTCGAAAATATTTTTTCAAAATTTGTTTTGTTTTTCTGTAATTTTAAAATAAATTTTAGAAATTAAAAAAAAATTTACAACATGTAAAAATACTAAAGGCAATGAATCAGCTTCAGAATTTTCCATTTCAGAATTATTGTAGTTTGTAACATTTTGAAAATCAACATGTCTATCATTGTAAAAATTTGAAATTTGTGGTAATAAACCAAGAAATTTTTGTTTTTTTTTTGAAGAGAATCTAATAAACATTTTACCAACCAATAATATCTTGAAAAAAAATATTTAAAGATAGATTGGTAATAGTTCAGTTTAGACCCCCCCCCTTTTACCCCCGATTTATCATTTGAAAGATCTCTTCGAGCTTAGTCGAATGGCACTAAACTAAACAAAATCTGTCTTAAAAGAACAAAGTTATGACCGTTTGCTTTAATCCCTCGCAGTGGTGCGAAAGGTATTCAAATGCGGATTCGGCCTCATAACTGTTCGGAATATGATATTTAAGTCAATTTTTTACACATTTTTACACCGAAAAATTTTTCTAATTTATTTATTTACAGAAATCCCGGTTCTCATTCAAAAAATTTACCCAGACTTGCAAACCACACCCTCCAATAATCACACACAGAAAAATGTCAAAATCATCACGCAAAAAATCAGAAATTCTAGGAGGGAAAACGAAACGTTTCGCCCATGTCTGATCCCAACTTTTAAAAAATAAACATTAGACAAACAACCTGTACATTTCCAATTCGTTTCTCTTCATCCAGTTCAATTTTTGGTGGATTTCTGGTTGAGCTTGGTTGTTCCACATCCAAACAACATAATAAACAGATTGTGTGTCTGATCCCAACTTTTCTGATCCCAACTTTTCACACCAGCCAGAATAATGATGAGAGGCAATCCAATCAAAAGAATTGTTGCTTCACCACCACCAGCAGCTACTTGTTGTATAAATGAACTGAAGACAAGCAACTTCAGCATATAAGCCAGCCCCCCTAGAGTACACCTACTTAAAGGGACCCTGGGGGGCGCTTTCTTGCTCTTTTGTTGAAACTAAAAAATAAATACATATGTATCTTGGTGAAAGGGGGATTCGAAAATATTTTTAAAAAGACCCTTAATTGCTGAATTCCCAGGAAAAAAATTTTTTTTAATTTTTACACTAAAATTACAGGGAAATTCGACAATATTTTTTTAAATCGTTTTGTTTTTCGGTAATGTTAAAATATATTTAATTAAAAAATTATACCAAAGGCAATTTCTGAATTTTAATAAATTTTGCCGACAGTTGAATTTTCCAATCAATATTTAATTTGCCATTTTTTGAGTGAATTGACCTTAATGATAGAAAGGTTATTAATTTCGATTTAATAATATAAAAATGTTGATTTAAGCACAAAAATATTGTTACTTTTAACACCCCTAAATTATGATTTGGCCTAAAAACTTATTTCAGGGCAAATGGTGCCATGAGGCCCCAGCCTTGGGTGAGGAGTAACTCAAGGAATCCCAAATCACGGAATAACCAACTCAAGGACCAACTCAAGGAACAGACAGTTCAAAGGACTACCAATCATGGAACGACCAAATCAATCCTTGGCTTGTCTGTTCCATGATTTGGTTGTTCCTTGTCTTGTCCGTTCCTTGAGTTAGCCCGACACGCCCGGTTTTTCACAACTCATGTCACTCAGACAAAACTCCGTTTAATTGGGAGGGAGACTCCAATTTTTGCCCCTCCCCACACTAAAACACTATGGGTATTTTCCGAGTTTTGCCCTCCCCTAATTGTTCACCAAAAGTTTAATAGTTTTCAATCATTCTTCCTCGCATTCTTCATATAGAAATTCATTTCCTATGTTAAATTGGGGAGTTCATTCGTAAAAATGAGGTAATTTTTACCTTATGTCATTCAAGCCGTCAAAGGGTTAACAATTTAATTTGAATATAATAAAGGAGTATGCCACAGGGAAATGGAAAGAGGAAGAATGTCAAACCATTATTAAACTGTTGATGAACTATAAGACTAAAAGGAGAAAGGAAAAACCTCGGACTTATTTTGCGAAAACTAATAAAGCAAACCACCCCCCCCCCTCCCTATATAATTAAACGACAAAATTACAAACTTGTTAAACTCTGCATTAGAAACAAAATTTCCAAAGAAAACATCACCCAAAAAACGTTCATCCAATTCAAAAAAATTTCCCAAAATTTTGAAAATTCGTGTTTTAAAAACGTTGAAAATGTGTGCTGATTTTGCTGCACTTTTCTTGAAATTCAATTTGTTTAAACCATTTTTTGATTTACGACGAACCACGACACTAATTAAACCCTAAAGGTTTTTAGATAAAAAGTTGGGTATTTTTCCGTTCTGCCACAGCCTCTAAATTAATGCTCAATACGTTATAGGGGAATAAAAGGAGCTGACATGAGCAGAGGTGTGTCGGAACAGTCAGAGGTGTCGGAGATTGGAACTGGCTCAAAAGTCGGAACTCGGAAATCAAAATTTTTTCGGAAGTCAGAAATCTGAATTCCGACCCCCCTCTGATGCTAAGTCGAACGATACCAGTCTTATGGAGATGCCTGAGGACCAGGGATGGGAGGGTTACCCGAACCCGAACTTTTTTCGACCCGAAATCCGACCCGTGAAATTTTTGAAAACCCAACCCAACTTGGTAATTCTTCTGTTCGTACCCCCCACTCATTTTTCCTTCCTCAAAGTGTTAAAAAATGGTCAGTCAATCTTTTGTTATAGAACTCGTCGAGCTGAGTCGAATGACACCAAAATCAACGTAATCGGACGAGTTTAGACAAAGTTATGACATTATTTAGACCTACCGGAGTCGGCAACCTTATGTCATAACTTTGTCAAAACTTATCCGATTACGTTGATTTTGGTGTCATCGACTCAGCTCGATGAGCTCTTTCGAATGAGCTATCATATGTATGCTTTTTCGTCCTTTTGGTTTTTCGCCCCTGTGGTTTTTCAATTTTCAGGGGTCTGTATCTGGGTCAAATCAAGTCGGATTTTGTCGATTTTGGTGTATTCGACACAGCTCGATGGGTTCTATAACTTAAGACTGACAGACCATTTTTAATTCTTTTAGGGAGAAAAAAAGAGTGGGGGGTACGAACCGAAGAATTACCCCCAACTTTTTTATCAAACCGTCCCATCCCTGTTGTGGACCGAAAGAAACAACTTTCATTACCTTATATATAACGTATTGAGCATTAATGTATGGGAGGTGACATAACGGACGAATACCCAAAAGGTTTCGTAAAAATAAAAACAAAAACGAATTTAACCTTTAATGTTCCATCATTTTTATCAACCACAATAACGAACAAAATGCATTTTTTATTAGCCGAAAAATTTTCAGAAAACTTTTTAACAATCAAGGAATTCGACACCTACAAATTATTAAATTTAAATTATAAACTTAAAAGGTAATAGTGAACCGGACAGATCCCCTTTTTTCCTCCCCAATTTTCCTCCTATATTTTGAAAAATAGTCAGACTTTTCCCCTTTCTTCCATCCAAATTGCCTTTCTAATTTTTGCCTACAATCAAACAAAAAGGATTATTTAATTTTATACAAGGACATGGCAAAAACAGGTAACTTGTGGAGGAAAAAGGTGAGAAGAAAATAAGGGGGTCTGTCCGGTTCACTATTACCTTTTAAAAAAAATACCATATTCAAGTTTGCCTCATCTGACAATTCTCGGGTACCAGAACATTTAAATAATTCCATTCCCAAGTTGAATTTCGATTTGTTTTGAAAAACAATAAATGTAATCTCCTGCAAAGCCTTTTTGCTTTTTATTTGTTTGTTACTCATTACGGCTATAAATTATTTAAAGTTTTTTTCTAGGGTTGTCGGTTTTCAAGTTGGGAATTTTCTGCTAGGGTTAAGTCATCCAAAAAATTTCTATACAACCCGACAACCCTAAAACAATTTAAAAAGATGTTTCTAAGGATTAAAAACTCTCCGCTTTCTCCCTTTTATACTGTCTTTCTTTTATTTCAAAATTTCCTCGTTTTCAAAGAACGGACCAGTTGAGTACGGCCATTGAGAGTCAGTCATCTTTAATCAACCAGAACTTTTTTAAAACTTGATCCAATCCAAGCGGTTTTTATATCAATCGAAAGCTCTCGATTAGCGCTATCTTTTTTTCAATTCTAAAGATCAAATCTGATCGCTCCTTAAAAAGTTACAACTCGTTAAGTGCAATAATTTGGTGTTTTTCACACTTATTGGCTCATAACTTTCTGAAAAGTGATCAAACCGGATCCATCTAGTTGGAGAAATTATAGTACTAATTGAGACCTTTAAAATGATGTATGACTCATTCGGATCGGATAATGCATAAAAAAGTTATAGCCACTCAAAGATGCCTGCCTATCAACTAGCCAGACTCAACTGCGCATAAGCGAGTTTTTGCCTGAAAAGTCGTTTCAGTGCGAAACGATGAAAAATTACAGTATATTTCTCCTCTTAAACAAGTTTTATTAATAAACTTGGAATCAGAATTAAATAAACATGAACAAATAAAACCAGAATAAAAAACTTTTTTTAAAATAAACTTTCTCAGAATATTAAAAAAAATAAACTTGAAAACAGAAAAATTATTATTATTTATTAAATATTCAGAATTTTATTTCACAATTTTATTTCAGAATTTTGTATAAACTTTAAACTTTAAAACTTGAATCAGAATTAAAAATAAATAAACTTGGAATTATAATTAAAGTTTATTTATACCAAGTCTATTTAAAATTCTGAAATAAATAAACTTGAATCAGAATTATTTGTTCTGATTTAATTTATACAAAAATAAACTTGAATTTATTTAATAAAACCTGAAATAATAAAATCAGAATTATTTAATTTTCAGAATTTTATTAAGAGAATATTTAATTCTGAAATATTTAATTAATTCTGATTATATGTCAAGTTTTATTAAATCAGAATTCAATTTTATTTTTAGTTTCTGTTATAAATTTATTTTAAAAATTCTGATTTATTTTATTTCAAGTTTATTTGCGTTTTTGTATTCTTTGAGTTTATTCTTCATTTAAAGTTTATTTTCTTCTTTAAAGATCAGAATTATTTTTTAAATCAGAATTTAAATATAAAAATCAGAATTTTTAAAAATCAGAATTCCGACTTCAGAATTAATTTCAGAATTTTTTATTTTGTAACTCAGAATTAATCTTCAAAATCAGAATTTTAAATCAAAATTTAAATCAGAATTCTGATTTTATAATAATAAGAATTAATTTTCGGAATTAATTTTAGAAAACCAGAATTTTTCAGAATTTTAAGTTTATAAAAATCAGAATTTAATTTCAAAATCAGAATTATTTTATTTTCAATATCAGAATAAATTTTCAGAATTATTTTTTAATAATCAGAATTAATTTTCAGAATTTTTTCTTTTAAGAATCAGAATTAATTTTCAGAATCGGAATAATTTTCAGAATTATTTTTAAAAATCAGAATTAATTTTCAGAATTTTTCTCTTATTCTGAAATATAATTTAACCTAAACTTTTATTTATTCTGTTCTCTTTTTAAATATTATTCTCGTTTGTTTTTCTTTTCTGTTTTCAATTTCTCGCCCTTTCCCTAATTATTCAAACCTGGCAGAGCGGAACTTATAAGGGTGTAAAAAATAATTTATTTATTTTATATAAATTTTCTTGACTTTTTAATTACAAAATCAGTCATCTTTTTTTGCTTAAAAAAATAAATGTTATACTAATAAATGTTCTTTTCTCTTAAAAATTTTATTTTAATTAATCATCCCTTTTTTTAGCAATTTTTGAGGCAAACAAACCTTTTTAACGGGAAAATTAGCCCTTTTTTACTACTTAAAATTAATTTTTGGTTAGTATAAATAATTAAAAAATTATTTTTTTGGTTAAATTAAATTAGCCATAGGACATCTGATTAAACCCGGGACAGTTTAATTTAAAAAATCCCCACCAGGCATCGAACCCGGCCCCCCTTTGGGGGAAAGTCAGACGCGTTAACCAATACACCAAAAAGTTTTTTGAATTTATGATTGGGTGTAATCAATCAGAATTAAATTTAAAAAATCAGAATTTATCTTAAAATATCAGAACAAAAAATCAGAAAAAACCAGAACAAATTTAAAAAATCAGAATAATATTCAGAATTTAACCTAAAAAATCAGAACAAAGATCAGAATAGGTCAGAATAAATTTTTAAAAAATCAGAACAAAGATCAGAATAAAAATCAGAACAAATTTTAAAAAATCAGAATAAATTTTTAAAAAATCAGAACAAATTTTTAAAAAATCAGAACAAATTTTTAAAAATCAAAATTTCTTTAAAAAATCAGAACAAATCAGAATAAAAAATAATTAAACATATTTTTTTCTACTGATCCATTTTATATTTTTTAACAATTAAAAAAAGAATTTTAAAAATTTTATTTACGTTTAAATAAAATTTATATTTATTTTTGATTGATTACAATTAATTAATAATTTTTAATTTTCTCTTGCGCAATTTTTTTAAATTTAATTAATTTAAAATCCTCCCTCAAATCATTTTTAATTCTTCACCCATTTTCCTAATTTTAAATTCTTAATTTTAAATATTTTATTTTTAAATATTTGTTAAATTAGTCACGGTGTGACTTTTTGTCGTGTCTGGCTAACTCACGGAAAGTACAAGTCGCTGAACGGACAATTCACGGAACGACAATTCGCGGGACGGACAATTCACGGAACGGACAATTCGCGGGACGGACAATTCACGGAACGGACAATTTACGGCACGGACAATCTACGGTACGGACAAGTCGCTGAATGGACAATTCACAGAACGACAAGTCACGGAATTACCAAATCACTAAGGACCAACTCGCCAATGATCAACTAGCTGGTCAAGGATCAGGCTCACCATAATAAAATTCAATTTAGATAATCTTGCTCAAACATACTTATTCTAATAATTCATTAAGTATTAAATTCTTTACCCTATTTTTAATTTTATTGATAAAAATTTTGGGGGTTCCTTCCTTTATTTTATCACATTCATTCTTCGCACCCATCAATTTTTATATTTTTTTAAATTGTTTTGTGATCTAAATTTCTTCCTTTCTTTCTTCTAAATATTCGTTACTAATAAATAAATAAATATTTCTATA